CCAGTGGTACTGGCTCAACACCAAACTAATAGCTCTAGTGGGTCACGAACAGAATGTGTCAGCAGACCATGACGGACTACAACGTCAAGTCTGCACAGCGTGGCAGGTACACTAGCAACTGGCACCGCAGGTGACAGGATCAACCAGCACACCGCTAGGTGGATGGCGCCTCTCCGCCCTTATCGACCGCCGCGCATGGGGGAGGGGTCCCCATATGCGCGATTATTTTTTACCTTTAGGAGCTCCCATCAAAAATGTGTAACTGCGGAGCCGATTTCGCGATCTAGCCTATAAATCCCACTAATTCCTTCACCAATCGATAGATCTCGATCTGCTGAACATCGCTGTGAAGCCGGATTTTCGATTTATAGGCTCAATAAAAAGTTATTCACGTTTTAGTTTTCATCAATTCTATGTGAACCATGTTGCACAAGCATCTTCTTCTTCAACAGTCCTTCTAGTCTGGCAGGTTAAGGGCGTGCGCTGTCACTCGAGGCACCTAGGTTCGAATCCCGGTGGGATTATATTGCGGAATAAGGTTCAGCACTCGAAGTAGGTCAGCGACTTGGGTGGCACAGCGGTCAGTAGTGTACCAGTGAGAAGGACAATGCCCTCTGGGCTCTGGGTAGGCTGGTATTTATAGGCTCTATAAAAAGCTATGATCCATCAAAGTTCACAAGCTATAATTTCACCAGGTTACTTGAGTGTTTCAAATGTTGTGAGTCGTTGTGGTCTGGTAGTTAGATTGGTGTGTAAAATATCGGGAGATTGTGAGTTCGATTTTACATAAAGAGTTTTTTAGCAATTAAATTTTCCCCCGTATATAACGAGTCTATATCAAGTATGCAAGTGGTAGCTACTCTTAAGAGTCACTCGATTATATAAGAATGGAGTTGGTGTACTGGTCGAGCCTATGCTGTCGGACCCGTGGGTAGCAAGTTCGAGTCTCTGCAGAATCATCTTTATATTCATTTATAGTATTGTATTGATTATTACACTGTATGAGTAGAGTATTATAACTATACTAAAGTGATTATCCCCTAATACGTACTATACCGTTTCCCGCCGAACCTAGTTTGATCGGAGTGCACAATCCAACATCGTCTATTACTAGTGGTGGTGCTGGTCTAGTGGTCTACATGACAGGCTGCCATTTTGGTGGTCGTGGGTTCGTTTTTCAGTATTGATGAATATAATTATTCTATAAACTAGTTGATTACGTTGAAGCTAGTCGCTAGTAAGGAACAGTAGTCCAATTAAACCAATCATTGATTTACAATTGGAGTATTATCGATAGATCGTAGGTTCAATTCCGGATGAATGTCTTTTACTAATCCAAGTTTCTGGTGTATCTAATAAGTGTATTTCAAGTGTGCAAGTGGTAACTAATCTCGAGAGATACTTGAACATACAGCAGTGTAGTTGGTTTAGTGGTCGAGTTTCAGTCGTAAATAGATTTTCATTATCATATCAGATGTCACTCGTTGAATACCATGAATATACTGAAGTTAGAATAGCTTACAAAGTACTAAACAATTACTTGCGACACCAATTTCGCTACTACGATCTCAACGAGCAATTCATATCTCTATATTTTTAAACTCAATGGGTTATATCAAGCACCGCAAATAAATCAACTTTAGACATGGTCAATTTCAATTATCATACTTGCTATATGCCAACTACCGTTTTTTTGATGGCCATTATGAACATTATCGCTAAGAGTATATTGAGTGAGTTCGATGTTTAATACTTACTCGTATTGTGTGCCGCTCTTATTATCCTGCTAGCTGGCCTCGCTACATCGCTTGGAATACACCATTTCGCATTGGCTGTATGAAATTCAGATATTACACCTCAGGGATTCCCAACACATCTTTTACCTTTTTTATTTAATGCTAAAAATACGTTCGCATTTCGACGTCATAATGCAACACGGTACGCTTTGCATAGAAGGCGTGTCAGATACATTTGTAGTATAATCAGTAAGTCCAATAGTATTTTGTCACTAACAAATCTATGGCGTTACGTGGTTCGCGTTATTTTTTCAGACTTGTTTCTGTATCACAAATCAATATATTACGGCTTCGATGCAGAGCTGAGGTAACTGCTTACTGTCCAGTATCTTTCTGAATGTTTCTCTTTAGCTTTTTTCTTCACCTTTAGTCCTCTCGAGTAACGAGCTTTAACTACATGATTTTTAGAGCGTAAAAAATAAATAACGGTTATAAATATCCTCAATAGAGGTTGCGTTTTATCGAACGTATTGTTACGTTTCCTCGATATTATTTCGGTTCACTTTTCTGGCTATGAATGCTCTATCCGAGGCTCACATTTTACTCAGGTCTAAGGCTTGATTGATGCTAAGCGGAGTCGAAGTTTTCATCATCACTCCGCAGCGTAACTTTGAAGCGCCAACCTTTGTAATAAAGACGGGAGAAACAGGGAATTTAGGTTTAATGTGTCTATAAATTTCGCACGAAATTTTGTTGTTGCTATTATGATTATCGTGTTTATGATTCTTGTTGTTATGATTACTGTGGTTATATCATTTTTATTTATTAAATATTATTATTTAATATTATTATTGAACTACTATTATTCAAATTATCATCAAGTTATTTTCATTGTTGCATATCTATTATCGTTGGTTTTAAAATTTCCAATACTTATAAAAATTCTTTTAATTTGGCTGATCTTTGTACTACAATTAGCTGTGGAGCAAGCATCTCGAACAGTAGCACTAGTAACAACAGCGATTGTTTTAGGGCGAGGAGCATTAGTAACACTAGCAGTATTGATAGCACCATTACTAACTATAGCAGTAGTAATCATAGGGATAGGAGCAGTAGCATTATCAACCATAGAATTAGTAACTGTAAGTGATAGTGAGAATACGAACAGTGACCATACTGATACTGACAGTAGTGATAGTAGTGATAATTGTGATAGTATTGATAGTAGCGATAGTAGTGATAAT